GAGACAGTGCCCTCGGGAACATCATTCCAGGGGGGGTCTCTTCGAAGTCTAACAGCCCAAACGCCCCCTGGAACTAAGTTGGGCCCCTCGTCGGTCGCCCCCCACCGTTAATGGCCGTTCTCGTCATCCACGGGCTGCCCCGACGCGAACTAAGTTGCTCGCCTTCGACCGATGGTCTTTCCCGAGCGACTCACAGCCGGGCCCAAGGCGCGACATGGTCCACAGACCGAGCGCCGCGCCAAGTCTTGGAACCGCTGCATCGCGCGTCCGAGCCCGGAGCGAGGCAAAGCCGTGACGTCAAAACTTCACGGCTTCGCTGCTCTTTGAACCGGTTAACTTTAGCTTAGCCGGCAGTGGGCTACGGCTGCGAATGAGCCGTCGTTGAACAAGCACATCTATGAAGCAATGCTGCAGTAATCCGTAGCTAAGAGACGGTCTCTCGTGCGAGCATTTCAGCGGCCGACGATGGAATCTCCACCTTAGAGGGCCCCGCGCTCCTCGAATATGCAGCGACGTGCAACGATCCCAGTGGCTTTGAGGTCCGCAAACATGTGGGTGAGGCACATGAAAAGACGTGACATCCGGACGATTGCGAGGCGACGCAAACGGGCAGCCCCAGGGGGTGGAATGAGGCGCGGCAGCTTCCCCCGACCCGATTTTCGGTCCCCTTCGAGTCACAGAGCGTCGGGAATCGTTCGTCATGGGGGCGACCAGATGCCCTCGCGGCAGCTCTTCGGCTCGAGTGGGTTTGATCGAGATCACCTCACCACCTCCGGGAGGCGTGCGGCGCCGCGGGTGACACGGTGCTCACCGCGCAATGCATGAGGCGTTTGGGCTGTTAGAACCGAGACAGTGCCCTCGGGAACATCATTCCAGGGGGGGTCTCTTCGAAGTCTAACAGCCCAAACGCCCCCTGGAACTAAGTTGGGCCCCTCGTCGGTCGCCCCCCACCGTTAATGGCCGTTCTCGTCATCCACGGGCTGCCCCGACGCGAACTAAGTTGCTCGCCTTCGACCGATGGTCTTTCCCGAGCGACTCGCAGCCGGGCCCAAGGCGCGACATGGTCCACAGACCGAGCGCCGCGCCAAGTCTTGGAACCGCTGCATCGCGCGTCCGAGCCCGGAGCGAGGCAAAGCCGTGACGTCAAAACTTCACGGCTTCGCTGCTCTTTGAGCTGGTTAACTTTAGCTTAGCCGGCAGTGGGCTCACAGCGCGCCGCACCGATTGACAGCCGCAGGACCGGAGGAGACCAGCCATCGGCGCGTCCTGGACAGCCGCAGGACCCGCGCACGAAAGACAGCCGCAGGACCCGCACGAGATGATGAAGATCGCCCGCACGTCGCGGCCGCCGGAGCGCTTGGAGGGCGGCGGCTTCCGCATCCGCGACGTCATGAGCGGCTACTCGA